CCATCTTGAGGGTTCTTGGATATCTGAATTAATAAATTAAAACCAGTATATGAAAACAGCTATTGATCCTTAAAGTTAATTGTACCAAAGGGTTCTTGTCTAGAACAGCAAACCCAATTATTTTCATGTACAGAATAACAAACCCAATCATCTTTTTGTAAAGAATAGCAAGCTTTGCCGTGAGTGGGTACGGTAATCTTGACAACATCCCAAAGTTTTTTTTTCTCTTGAACAATATGTACGGCGGACAATAAAATAATACTGAGTAATGGAAATGCATTCGATGAAAAGATTTTATAAGAATTAATACACTACAATTAGTTTAAGGCATTTTTTTAATGTTTATACGTTCTTTTTATAGGTAAAAATATTTAAGTAAATGCTCTCTTTATAATAAACAGTATTAACAACATTTACAGGCCTGAATGTCCGAGAAATTTTCATAGAAAATATGCGTCCTCCGACTGGAATCGAACCTGTATCATCTGTGGCTCAATCGGTAAAAGCACATCAGGCTATATGACGGTTCCGCATAGGATACAAGTTCGATTCCTGTCGGAGGACGCATATTTTCTATGAAAATATCTCGGACACTCAGGACGGTGAATGTTGTTAATACTGTTTATTATAAAGAGAGCATTTACTTAAATATCTGTATCTATAAAAAGAATGTATAAACATAAAAATGTCTTAAAATAATTGTCGGACTTTGTCCATTTCATAATGTGTGACACTAAAATTAGTTCACATCATTTTGATGAGTTTGATGGGAAAATCCGAGTTAACAAAATGAGATTACAACAACAACAATGTTTCTGCATCGTTATATAGAGATTACAAAAGCTTTTCTCTTTTTTTTTCTTTTGACTTAGCATCATTTATTCTCCAACCAAAATATAACGTGTCTGCAACACTGCAAGAAGAATATTCCGTGTTAGTTGTAGTGATTTTCTAGTATCTGTGTCACTCTCTTAAAATTCTGAATCGAAAAGAAAATCTGCTTGAGCCGCTTCTGAATTTTCTGAAGAAATTTATCTATTTTTCTGGTTTCCTGAAGTGCCATTTTGGTATTTTCTCAATTAGTTCACGCACAAATGGAGCAAAAGTAATAAGAACGAAATTTATCGATTATGTAGTTACATTTACATTAATCTTCTTTCTGTAATATCATATTGATTGATTGATTAGATTTTAATTTTTACGGCTTATCAACATTTTGCAAGTTATTTAAAGCCAGAAAATATTTTAGATTGTGTAAGAATTTTTTTTAGATAATAATGACTTACTGCTAGAAGTTCTACTAATTAACCCATAGCCGGGGGAGAACTTGTTTCATACCTTTTCCGTGTAAGTGAATATAGCAAACCCAACTGGAATTGGAACTTAACTCCCCGATTTCCAATTCCAACCCATTACACCATCCGCATATCCAAGCTTACAACACCTAGTATTCCCAAGCGGTGACACGTCTAGGCACTGACCTTGCTTGATATTGCTTAACTGATTGTAAATAAATTAGTGTTTAAACGTGATATGGCCATAAGCCTTCTGTTCCTGAAACTCATCTTTGTAAATTTAATTTTACTAACCAGGCTCAATATCATCTTGAAGAATTTTATTTCTACATTCGATGTTTATGGCAAAATTATTTCAAGGACTTGACAGTCATAAAGGTCCGTTAAACAAGGAATTTCAATTTCCAGATTCGCATATCCTAGGCAGGTGAGATTGATATAGGATTTGAACCCTAAACGATCTCATTCACTAGAGAAATACGTTGTACAAAAATATTAGCATCAATGTCAATAACAAAATTTGTTTCATTTACTCTTATTTGTGAAACGACTTTCGAATGCATCTGTGCAGTTTTCTGTCTTATTCAAGGGCTGTTTAACATTTGGAGCTTGTTTTCTTTCTTGGCCCTTCTGCATCAAGGTTCTTATCTTGTAGGCGTAAAAAATATCTTAGTTTTGCATATTCTGTTGTGGATAATGATATCCTTTTGTGAACATGATGGTGTCTGTAATTGTTTTTCAGTGAAGGTTGTGGAATTTCTGTTCAATAAAGACATTAACATATCTGGAGTTTGTCTAAATGTAGGGATTAAGTATTTTGGAAAGTAACAATATGGGAAGTAGATAAAGGTCACGTCTTCAGAAATTTATAGTGTTGTATTTCTTAGCTCTCACTAATACAATTTGTTACCGATAACATTTCTTGAAAATCTTATAAACACGCGTATGGTAGCACAAACGAAACAAAAAGTGCTACAGGTGAGACGAAAGGAAAAGAAGACAAAAATCGTTAATATATATTTTTTGTATTGCTATTATAGACGATATGAGCGAAATACTTCTTTGTGAGCAAGGAAAGCAATTTGGAGAAGTATAGTTAGTAGGGCCTGGAGTTAAGGCGTTTATCAGGTCGGCTGACCGAAGTTATGGGTGATGACCTTGATAGTTTGCTGAGCGTCCAGATGGACTGTTAGCTGCGATTTTGTCCAAGTCGTTTCTTAAAAGCATATTGTGGTGGCTGCTAGTTTCATCTTTCTTTTTTAATGTTTTGTGTTTGGCAACAACGTTCGTGATTGGATTCTTTTATGTTTTATTTTATATTTTTGAGAGGATTTGTTTTGTGGGCCGGGTGTGATGCTGGGAGCCCCTGTGCAGAGGACAACTGTTTTTATTTTCCGTTTTATTTTCTTAGTGTTCTCATCCGGTTGACATGTAGAGTGAACCAGAAAGAGATCTAATTTGAAGCAGAGCATAATAGAAATAAACTGCTGAACATCCTGTGTTGTGTTTGTACGCTTGTCAAGCATTTTAGGATTTGTTTTTTTTTTCAAAAGACAAATCATAAATTTATGTTATACTATTTCTTCACTAATGCTGGCACAAAACCTTTGAGATAAAATTATACTTTGAGAATGTCATGGATGAAGCGAGTAAGCAAGAGAAAGTCTTAAAAATGGTCACAAAAAGAACATTTATATTCAGAATCGGAAAGCCACAGCTGAAATATCTTGGACACAATAAGGAAGGAACGCTTAAGCCTCACGGGTAATATTGATGGCAGGAGAGGTAGGGGAAATCAACAAATCACTTACCTGACAAGCTTGTGCAAACTGATGGCGAAACTAGATGGGAGAGCTTTGGCAAAGGGAGAAACACTACCGAGGGATAGAAGACATATGGAGTTGTGGTAAGCAGCCATTAGTGCACATGTCCTGAATGGACGAGGTAAATCGAAGAAGAATTATAGAAAACCAATTATTCACTATTGTCTCCATAAAATCTGAGTCCTTAACCCTAGAACACTAACCATCAATTAAAGTTACACCACTACTAACCATGGGTATATCATACCCAATTTTGAAAATATCAAAAAAAATATTAAATATAAATCTTTATTTGAAATATTTTACATGCAGGCACTTCAAACTTTGTACTTTGAGTTAACATTAATAGGAACTGAAAAACATTATTTAGGTAAGAAAATCAGGTACTGAAAATTCTAATTAAAAATAGGAAAATTTGCGCTGGGTACTATATACCCATGGTTAGTGTTCTAGGGTTAAGTGTAGCCTGTAACACTGGAGTTGATTATTAGTCATTGTTTTCGCTTACGGGAGACTGTGAACTAACATAACTTATTCTCTCCCATTTACTACGATCTTCAGCAAGTTTATTTAGTATCTGCCACTCATTTGTTGGTGACAACAAGACTATGTTATCTTTGTTTCGCTTTTAGTCGACTTCTTTTTCTAGGCATCATAACACAGTTTCTCGGGCTCTTCACTAGATATTTGAATGTGTTGAAATATTCAAGGATTTCTTACAGATGATATCAAAGGATGAAGACAACTTAATGGGTGTAGGGGACGCCAAGCAGTCTCACTACACGCAAGCCACCAATCTGCAACTGGGTGGCATGCCACTAGCATATACCGCTTGTGGCCCGCTGTCGTGTTCGTCTCGGCAGTGTTACTACTAGCGGACAGCTAGAAGCCCACCGGTGGCTACCACCAGAGGACCGCTGGCGTTGCCATCAGCGGACCACTAACGACTTGCGTATAGGGCTATGTAACTCCACTTCTCCCAATGAGTCTTTTAGTTTCCGCGTGCAGGTGAGTTTGTCTTGGTGCCTAGACTCCCCGCTTAGTCACAATGTTTCTGACCTAAGGACAAGTTCTGTTATCTTGATTTCTGGGAAGACAAAATGCGTACATTTAGGGTTTCATGACTGCATCGTCTTTCCTGAACTATTTGTTTCTTCATTAAGGGTGGTACAGGTAAGGTTTTCTGGGTTTTGCCTGATAGTCAGGGATCCGAACCATAGAGTAACGTTTATAAGCTGGTTTCATTACCAGGGCTATTGTGCTGCCATTTTGTGAATCACCTTTAGACCATACAGTAATCTTTGGTGGGTCCCTTTGATTCCATAATGAAAGGTACAACAATTACGGCTGTATGTCCGGACAATTCAATCCAGGTCATTCATGCATGCACTACCTGTGGATGTGACTGTTTCGCTACCCTGTATTCATCTATACCAATTTCTGTTATCTAATAAAGAGTAAAAAAAAAAAGTGGTTACATTTCAAAGAGTGGTTATTTTCATTTTGTCAGCTTCTGATTTGTGATGATACGCGTCATAAGGTTTTGGAATGTTTCAATTGGAGTTGAAAACTGTTATGGTAATTTACCCACGCACGCATAGACTCTCCTAGCTATAAATAGGAGCAGGTACTGCCTTTTGGAGAGGGAAGTTTTCAGCAGTCAGCTCTGACAGTCAGACCGAACATTCTTGCTGTAACACTCTACTACCGTGAGGAAAAGATGACAAGGAAGTAAAGACGACAGAAGGCATAATCTTTCATCAACACCAGTGTGACAGGCCAGTACATGCGACATCTGGAACCATGCCTGTTTCTCAGACATTGGATTTTGCAATCACATGACACACTGCATGAGAGTCTAACTCTTGAGTATGGAAAATCAATGGTCATCCGTTTCTTCAAGGTATGCTGCGACTATAGCACCTGAGTCATCAGCAGAGAACACTCTCTTTCCCTAGAGCAGGATGTGCCCTTACATGGCTCGACTCACTCCAGAATTCACGGTCCTGGGTATCTTAATTTAAGGATTCAAGGATGAATAGATTCCTTTTGATTATGTTGATATTCCACCCCCCCCACCCCTTCAGTGTATATTTTGGATAATCTTTTTGTTGTGGAATAACTAGTACATTCCCGGTGACTATATGAACTAGTCCATAACGATTTACATTATTTACATTGCTCGGAATGTTGTCCTCATCTTTATTGTCATATTCACGACTTTTCGGCAGTTGTAGACTCCGGCCTTCTTCAGGTGATTGAAATTTCAAACTGAACCCGTTATTTCGTTATTGCTCTAGTTCCACGTGCCACCCCTTTTCCGGGTTATCTCCCTTTAACTCAACTCTCCAAGTTTTTGTTCACCATTTCAGCAGGCAATAAAGATGAGGACAACAGTCCCAACAATGTGAATAATTATAATACCTCATCTCAGAAATATAGACAGATAGTCCATAAGTATCAATAAAGAACTTCAGCTCAGAGGTAAGAGAGGAAGAAGCCATTTGGAGTCAGTCTTCAGACTAATTAATACAGGCATCACGGCAAGTTGCCAAAGCATTGCTTATATTATAAGCACTAAGAAGCATGTTATAACAGTGGTGATGAGGGTTTTGAAACTCAAGCAATTTATAACCACTGTGACGAGGATTCAGAACTATTTTGATTTATAACAGTAATGACGGTTCAGGAACTCATATGAGTTGTAACTAGAATTACAAGGATTTTGGAAACTCATATCAAGTGAACAAGTATGGAAAAAATATAGTTGTTGCTTCAGAAACAAGGGTATGGGTTACGACAAGAATTTTAACCATGTTGGTTTAATAAGAAAATTTCTTCTTGTGCAAAAGGAAAAAAATTTCTCTTGCGTATAGGAAAAAACATATTCTTGCAAATATGGAGCAAATTTTGGTTTTGATAGTTGATATTCAACAACAACAACAACAACAGAAATAGCAGCAACAACAAGATCAATAGTTGCTAGAACTACAAAAATAACAACAGGAGTTGTTGGATATAAATCTGAAGAAACAAAAAATTTTTAAAGCCTCTGATGCTAGATACTGTCCAAAACACCATATCAGAATTTGTATACAAACCTGATGAGGGACTGACTTTTTCTGAGTATTTTCATAGATATGAACAAATATTCAATTAAGAATGCAGCAGCTGGAAAGATGAGAGAAAAACAAGATTGTTGTTGAGGAAAATACCCTACACACAAGCCACTAGTGGCCCACTGGTGAACAACTGATGGGAACTCTAGCTGTCCTCTGGTGGAAGCCAGTGGTGGGTTACTGGTTGGCATCTAGCTGTCTAGCAGGGGTAACATTGCTGAGACAAACATGCCAGTGGTCCAACAGTGGGATACCAGCAGTAAACGCTAGAGGCATGCCACCTAGTGGCAGATTGGTGGCTTGTGTGTAGGGTAGCTTTGATAGAGTATGAAAAATACTGCAACTACATATTACCAGAAAAATGAACAGGTGAAATTAGATTTGAAGACGTGGTACACATTCTGACAAAAATCTTTAGTGACAAGAGCTCTTTGTTTAATGCTTGTTGGAGGTACATGAATCTAACCTAAAAAGAGAACAAATATTTTGTCACATATGCTGGTATCGTCAACAAAGAATGTGAAAAATTTAGAATAAAGGAAATGACTTCAGATATGTTCAAAGGGTTAATTTTTGTTCAAGGTTTAACAGCTAAAAAAGATGGTGAGATACAAGTATAAATTTTAACAGAAATTGAAGAAAACAGTAATATTACATTGCAAGAAATAGTAGCTGATTGCCAGATATTTCCAAGTCTGAAACACAATGCTGAAGAAATTCAGAAAAAAGAATGTGCATTGATAAAAGCAAAGGACAAATGTACAAAAAAGAGAATAAATCCTTGTTTCAGATGTGGTAAATTACATCTTGGAAAAGACTGTCTATTTAAAATGCAGAATATTACAACTGTGATAAAATGGACATATAAAGTCACATGACAAAATCAAACCAAGAAAAAATTCTTACAAGAAGAAATTTGTACATAACATTGCATTATTAAAAAGGGTCACAGAACACAAAGGGAAATTTGTGGATATAAAAATAAATAATGTGGGTGTGAAAATGCTACTGGATACTGGTAGTGATATTTCAATAATGAGTGAAACCATATGGAAGGAAATTGGACAACCTTTATTAAAAAGGACTTTCAAAGTTATGATTTCAGTTTCTGATGAGAAATTTTTTTTTTTTCAGAAATGATTTGTAATGTCTCATTCTGTAAAGTATGTAAAACTTAGGCATTAAAAATGCTATGAATTTATTCACTACTGACTGGATGGAATTATTTTAACTTTTGGATTTGCTGATAAACATTTATTGTAAAAATGTAAGTGGACAAGTGACCAATTTAAAAAGTCAGAGTGAAAATCTTAAGGAAGAATTAAAAAATGTTTTCCAGATGTTCTGTCAAATGAACTGGATCAGTGTTCAAAATTCAAGGCTGATTTCCAAATAATAAAGTATTTAAGCTGAAATAGAGTGTGCCATTTGCAGCATTGGGACAAGTCAACAAAGAATTAGACAGACAAAATTAACCATTCAAAATGGACTGTATCAGCAGTGTATGTAAAGAAAAAAAAATTGTGTTTGCATGGATTTCTCAACAGGATTAAACAGTTTTTTAGAAACACATAACAACCAAGTCCAGAGGAAAATTTTTCAAAGTTAAGCAGCAAAAGAATATTTTGAAAATAGGATCTCTCTGAAGTGTATTTACAAATTCAGATTGAATATGAATGTTCAAAATTAATGACCATAAAAACACACAGAGGATTATATAAGTTTAACCAACTTCTTTTCGTTATTAAGGTGGCACCAAGTACTTTTCTTCTTTTTTCAACAACCATCCACTCATGTTTTTGATAATTCTTTTTTGCTTTGTTTGATGTGACCTTATAGCTTAAGGGTTTTACTCTTTATTAAGGGTTTTGTATTTTCTTGTGTCAATGCACTCTTGCGTTTTCTAAAATCTCTTTTTGTGATATTCTTAAAGCTATTTATTTACTTTTATCTTGTCAATGTTTTCAGTTTCTTTTTTGATTGTTCTATGACATTTGTTCAATAATTTTTGTATTTTCCAACACTGTGTTCTTGTTACTCTTTTGAGATTATATCTTTATTAGAACCCATATTAATCCTTATATATCACATATTTTAAAATACATATAATTAACTATGCTATTTCATTTATATATATATATATATATAAAATTGTCTTTTACATTTAGATATATATATATATATATCATTCGCAGACAGTACTATTTCACTGTATCACAGCTCCTCAGTGTGACTAGACAACCAAATGCCTCAAGCATGGATTGAAACCCAACCAATTTGGTTCAGTCAGAGCTTCTACCACTGAGCTATCTTCACTCGAGAGAATGAGTCAGCCAAATCTAGTGTATTGTTTTTACAAACGTAAACAAACACTAAGCAGCCAAAGTGCTCCATTCATTTTTTCTGAAGAGCTTTGCATTTACGCAGTTGACCATTGTTTTTAGAATTAGCTTGTCATTCAACAATGCTCGATAGAAAATATATTTTCAAGAGCTAAATATATACATATTTATTTATTTAAAATATGATAAACAAGAACCATGTTACATAATAAAATCTGCTAAATATATTATGAATATTTGAGAGTTGCCTTATTATTAGTTGAAAGATAAGTATAGAGAGTGAAGGGGAAAGAGAGAGAGAGAGAGAGAGAGAGAGAGAGAAAGAAAGAAAGAAAGAGATAAGGGTTTTAAAGGAAAGTGTAAATGCCTCATTTTATTTTGAATTCTTTTTATTTTTTTTTATAGTTTTTATTTTTAGATTTTATTTATTTGTTTTTACCAGGACTCACTACATAGCCAACATATTTCTCATAAAATTTTGATGACAAAATATATTGCTATCTCAATGTTGACATAACTAATTAAAACTAAACTTCTATCTGAATTTCTGGGATGATCAGTTATCATTATTTACATTATTTACATGTGGACTGTTACCATAATCTTTGATGCTAGTACCACAAAATATCAGTTGTTTTGACCACTGGCCTTGATCAGGCACTTGTATATCCAGGTAATATGTATATATGGAATTTTGAACTAGCCCCAAAAAATAGCCTAGCAGATTAAAGTGTTGGATTTGGTGATATCTGAAGTTCCAAAATCCAAAAGCCTCCAAAATCAAATAAATTTTCAGGAACTGACATGACTTGCCACAAATGGAAAATTTCAGAAAGCACTGGAAAGGTTCCTAGGTGATGTGCAGCTTCTGTAATGACCTCATCCTCCCTGGGTGGGGGTCTCCCAGCCCAGCTACATAGACTATGTTAGTGTAATTTTTTTTGTTAGCAATCATCACAGCAACACCTTTGTTTGTGGATTACTTCCCAGGTGTTTCATGCTTAGTAAAACTATTTATATATTTTTTGTAAGCAGTGATCATATTTTTTAACCGTACAGAAAGTACAAATCATTATTTTTACGCAAAATATTAATTTCACCACTTAAAAATCTGGGTGAGAATTACATGACTAGCATCACTATCTGTATCTGTATGTACACAAAATTTATTAAACTTATATTTAAAACAATTTTTAGGGTATATGTTATTTATATAAAACTACCTTCAGGATATATGTATAAACTGTGTTGTGAAATGTAAAGAGATATCATGTTTAATGTTTGGGTTCCATTCCCAAGCTGCTCCATTTTATAGATGCTCTATGTACAAATTAAATAGCCAGTATTCAAAATTCCAAAAAAATCTGAAACCAAAATCACTTCCAGTACCAAGAATTTTTGTATAAAGGATTCTCAACTTTTATAGTAATTGTGAGTCTAATCACTAGGATGGGTAATGTGTACTTGAACTCAGTAGTCAATGTAATTTTTATATATTTATATTCCAGAGAATATAAATAAATCTAAAAGACATGCCTGTATAGCTAAACAGTATTTCATTGATTGACTGATTAATTTTCTATGGCTTATCAATCCTTTGCAGGTTATTTAAAATTATTGTAAGAATTTTTTTCTGATAATAATAACTTTATTGATGCAAGTTTTACTAATTAACCCATATCTGGGGGTGGGGGGGAGAAGAGGAATTTATACCTTTCCTAAGGATATTTGCATGCAAGTGAATATAATGAACCCAATGGGAATTGGAACTCAGCTTCCCAATTAACAATTCTGAGCCATCATCCATTACATCACCTGCACATCCAAACGTACAGCACCAGTTATTCCAAGTGGTCACTCATCTATTTACTGACCAGGCTTGACATTGCTTAACTTCAGTGATTGTATGTTGCTTGAAGGTTAGTGAGACACTGTATCTGTATGAATTTACTATTTGTACATTGTGAGAAAAATCAACAAATCTGGTGGCCATCCCTGGGTTTCTAGTAATGATGCTTTATTCTGGAAACATATCTGATTTCCAGGGTCATCAACTAGCACATATATTTATTACTATGAGCAGAAGTAAATATTAATAAAGTAAAACATATAAATTTTAGGTGCTATATATATATATATATAAGATAAGAATAGTTTCTACTTTTGTCTTTTAATCATATATATATATATATATATATATATATATATATATATATATGATTAAAAGACAAAAAAATATTTTAAAAATAAAATATGTTGGATTTAATTTATTTCCTAATATATATATATATATATATATATATATATATATATTAGGAAATGGATTAAATCCAACATATTTTAATTTTTAATTTATTTTGTTTAAATGTTATTTTTGATCGATACTCATATTTGAATAGAAGCTCTCTCTTTTAATTAAACAGTATATTTTATCCAACTACATCTACTGGCCTGAATATTTGAGAAATCTTGTCAGAAAAATATGTGTCTTCCAGCAGGATTCAAATCTGCATACCTTATGGGCAACTGACATTGGATCTGAAGTGCCCAAATCTTCAGCCACATAAGACCTCTGGTAGATGTAGTTGTTTAAAAAATAGTTTAATTAAAAAACAAAGTTTCTACTTGAATATGAGTATCCATCAAAAATAACATTTAGACAAAACAAATTAAAAATAACACACACACACACACACACACACACACACACACACACACACACACATATATATGGGGCAGTAATAAAGTAACTATACAGTTACTTATAAAAAAAGACCAAAGCATTGAAGTAGGTGGCTTGCAGAGTGTATTGGTAATTAATTTACTACTGTATACCATATGATGTTATTGTTATTAACCAGAACTATTTTAATAATAAATTTCTGTACTGTTGATTAATTCTTAATTGTTATTGTAAGTAACTGTATAGTGACTTTCTTGCCAACCTGTATGTATATATGCATGTATATGTATTTATGTATATATATGTGTATGTGTGTGCTTTTTATATATGTATGTATATATATATTTATATCTATATACACACACACATATATATATATATATATATATATATATATATATATATATATATATATATATATATATATATATATATGTGTGTGTGTGTGTATATATATATATATATATATATATATATATATATATATATATGCACCCACAGATAGATAAATATACAAATATTTGTAGTGTATAAGGGAGAAGTATTTCACCATATAAGGCGCGTATTACGCTTATTACGTAATTGCAAACACTTTTTTTCTGTATTTATAGCTTACGTATGTGCTTTATGTGCCTATTATTTAGTTACTTTGAAAATTTTGTATTTATTTTTCATACTTCAAGTTTAAAATTTTTAATTATATTTAATTTTTATAAAATTGTCAGTGGAATAATACTTCAAGTTTTATTGTAAATTCGAAACAGCGGCTGTGGAAGAGTTACTTCCCTTACTTATTTTAACTTTCAGAACAGAGTTGTCTGCTCTTCGTTCTTCCAACCCGCCATCGTCCGTACTCTTTACCTCACCAAAATCTAACCCTCCTCTATAGGAAGGGGGCACTGTCGTAACCCCAGATTACTTTAGTGGGGTTTTGGCAGCACGACTGAGTCGATGAGGCTCAGTTCTACGTTACTATATGAAAAAAAAACTGATCTGTCGCGAGAAAGCGACTATCTTTTACAATTAAGATTTTCGGCTCCCCCCCCATCTTTCTATTGGAAAGATAATGAATCTCTGGTTGTTGATTTCGGTAACGACGACGACGACGGCGGCCCTTTGAAGAAGTAGAGAGAAGAAAAAAGGTAAGTAAATAAGTAAAAAGTTTTATTGAACGTAAGGCAAAAATATATAAAAAGTTAAAAGATCATATCTTGTATTTTGTAGTAGAAAAAAAAAAGTACAGAAGTTAAGTAGCAAGTGAAAGGAAAAATAATCCAATGTTTAGTTTTTAAAGAAGTATTTTTTTTTTTATTTAGTTATTTTTAGTAAGTTGTCTACGTAAGTTTATTTTTGTTGTTTTTCTTGTTCTCTCTCTCTATATAAAAAACAAATCAAACCAAAACTAACAAAAATAAATTTTTTTAGAAATATTACCGCAAAATTGAAAAAAAAACAAACTTTTTACTTAGGAAAATAAAGACCACATGGATGAAGAATAGAAAATATTATGTCGGTATCTTAATGTGATGTGTCCGTCTCAAAAGTCAGTAAATTTTTGACCTTTTTGGACTTTAACAAGTTATTGCTTACACCAGTGGGGAAAAAAATACGATTCGGACAGCAAACATGTTCAATTAACTGAAATTAAAATTCATTTCATGATTACACATTTTTTTTTTTACATACTTTCTACATCTACTTATACATTTTTTAAATTTTTATTTACAAGTGCGCAAACTTAATACAAGGAGCGTAAATGACAATGTACAAAAAAAAAAACAATAACAAAATATGAAAAATGTAAGTTTTCATCTAAAAGAGTTTATAAAAAGATAAAAAAACGTAAATAAAACTTAATAAAAGTCTCTCGGTACTAAAAAAAAATCTATATAGTTCTTTTTTGTTCAATTGTTTCTTTTTAGTAAAGTACGTGCTAAAAGTGGACTTTTCAGGGCGCCCACGTCGCAACCGCTGACACAAGGTCGAGATTTAAAGTGAGTTCAAAAAACGGCAATATCGTGGAAACATTACTGAAGACCCCTCAGTACTTCCTCTTTTGGGGACACCTTAGTAACCGGATAATGACCCCAGTCTCCTTCCGAAGGAGATGTCCTGTCTGATCAGGGGGCGCGGGGGCTTATTTTGAAACTTTTCCGGTGAAAGTTCCAGGACGTGGTAATTTTTTTTTTTTTTTTTTTTAAACCAAAAATTTACTTGAGATTTTATATTTTCCTTTACGCTAAATTAACGATTTAAATAAATTTTAATAACTTTTTTTTTTTATGGTCATTTTTAATTTTTTTCTTTCTACGTTTATTTTGGAATTTGCTGAAAGAAAAAAAAAAGACTTCTAAAAAAACTAGAATCACAAAATGGCCTTTACCGTTTCACATTGGCGTCAGCAAAATTTAAAAAAATACTTTTTTCAGGATAGAAAGATCAAATTATTTATTTAGAGATGGGCATAACACCCCCTCCCCCCGCCGCCTTCATCCATCCATGTGGTATTTCTTTACTAGTAAAAAGTTAAATATACTCGAATCATTTTTATGATGCTGTAATATTTTCCACTAACTAAACATCATTTTCTTTCCTCCTGATATTACGATTTAGATTTTATTAATTCTATTTTTATAAACAAAGAAAGTAATGTAAATATTTCCGTTATTTGTCCTCAGCTGTTATGTGTCGGTGGGGTAGAGTACTTTACAAGGGCAAAGTACTTGCAGTTTTTATCTGAACACGTGTTTTTTGGCGTACTGTACTTTTTTTTTATTTATTGCACTTGGAGATTTTTCTTGTTAGTTTTTTTAATACTTTTTGTAACTTTTTACTTCAAGTAGAAAGAGCAAATAAAAACCTGGAATAATTCTTTTTTGTTTTTTTAAGTTAAAAATTGAATTCGTATGTGTTTTTTTTTAATTACATTTCTTTCTGTGTATACTGTAAATTAAATAGTGCGTGAGAACCTGAAAATAAAATAGTAAAAATGTTTGTGTGGCCGTAATTAATAGAATTGTTAGAAATATATACATACATAATGTACTCACAAACATATATTTGTTTGTGAGTACATTGTGTATGCTTTAGTGGACGGCGCTGAGTAACATCGTACTTTTTCCTTACAAATGATTTGTAAGGAAAAGTACGATAATAAATAATTAAGTAATTAAAGCAGTGACGCTTTTCTTTCTTTTTTTTTTTTTTTTTTTGATTATTTTGAAATTTATTTTACGACATTAGATATTTCTCAGAATATGTTCGTTCTGGGTATCAACAAGCCCAAGAGGGCTTAAATGTTCATTTTAGAGTGGATAATTTGCATTACAATAATGTTTTTTATTTTTTTAAATTCAAATCTTGGTTTTAAAAACAAAACAAAAAATAAAAAAATTAAAAAATAGCGATCCCTAAGTTTTTAAAAATGAAAAATCTTGTTTTAATTTTAATTCCAACCTTATAATTTTTTTTTTTTTTTTTAATTTCTGAGAAGCAAAATACTTTTTTTTTTTTTTTTTTAGTCGAATCAAATTTAATTGACTGGAATAATTCTTTTTCTGATTATCAGTAATAAATTTCTTCCATATTGACAAATCTGTCAATACAATTCTCTTTTAAAAAAATCTTATAAAAATAAAATATACTTTTCTAAGACGTTGAGAAAAATAGCTGGCTTAGTTTAAAAATATTTAATCTGGATTGAAACATAATTACTTGCTTTTTTAGTTTATCACAGCAAAAAAGTATCTTTTTTTTTTTTTTTTTTTTTTTTTTTGTTACAAAAAAAAAGGAGATGGGGTGGTTTTGACGTGCTCAGTGACATTGAATATAGCCTGATGTTTGGTAAAAGTACGGGGTACATAATGGAAATAAAATTACATGACATACAACGTGAAACCCTTTTTTATACATTTTTTTTAAACTACTCAGTTAATATTAAAAGAATTAAGCATTGTAATATAATATTTTATATTGAATTTTAGGTACTTAGTCTTACTCTTCTTAGCCTTACACATGATTGTTGAGAAAATGTTAAATTACCAATAAATTTTAAATTTAGGTACCGCTCTTCTTATCTTCTGATACTGTTAGTGTTATGGTATGGACGTCCATATTTGCAAAACTCGATACGTTTATACGCAAATAAAAAAAAAAATTAAAAAATATACTGGTGGTGGTTGAAATGTAGTGAGCTTTTCCATTTATGATAAGGAAATAGTCTAAATTTTTTTTAACTTGATCGCTACAAATTAATACAGTATTAATAATACTGAATTTTAAAAGAAAAGTTTATAAATTAAAGTAAAAAGAAAAAAAAATGTAAAATTACTATATCTTAAAAATATCTTTTATCTTAAGAAAATAATGTCCATAATATATTTTATTCATTATCAAAAGCTTTTCTAATTAAATAATGTCTTAGTTTTAAGGCATTTTTATTTTATGATTAATAATAGAAAAATTTCTGTAACTAGGGGGCGTGTTTAACCAAAAACTTTGATAATTTAAATTCTCTAAAATAAATACTTGTCTTTTATAAGTCATAAACATTAAGCAATATATAAAAAAAAATTAATAGAATTAAATGATTTAACAGATGTGAATAAAAAATATATTTTTACTAAGACTTTTGAAAAGAAATGCTTTAAAAATAATTTAATTTCTGAATTAGTCTGAAAATCTGATAATTTAAAAATCTGATTTTTGCAAGAATGTCCAAATTAATGGAATTTTCAATGTAGAAAAATGCTCAAATTTATTTACAGTATGTATTTATTGCTAGTGTTGACCCAAGAAAAATGAGATATTTAATAAAAATTTCTAAGGCTCAAAAATAGGGGTAAAATACATTTTTTTTTTTTTTTTTTTTTTACATCAAAATTTTTTTTGATCTTTCCACTTGATAACATGAAAATTTTGTTTTTTGTACATTTTTTTTCTTTGTGAATTTATGTAGGTATCTAGATAATGGCCTAATGTTAACCCATAAAAAATAAAAATAATTTTTAGTATTTAAATAAGGTTTTTTAGAAATACTGGCACATTCACCTGTCACTCATTATTAAGGAAAAATGAAAATAAATTTACAAATCTCTAAAAAATACAATATTTGTCCTAGAAATTTGTTTCAAAGTAAATTTAGTCAATTTAAGGATTGAGTAATTGCATGTTTGCAAAAATATTACTGACTTTTTTCTTAAAATATAGGAAAATTACGTTTATTTACACATGAAAGCTCATAAGTTATCAAGATAATGGTGGTGTTCTATAAGGATTCCCATTTTTTTGTTTTTTAAATCTGTAAAATTAACTTAAATATGGAGAATCAAAAAATTGGTATTTATATTTAAAAATAACCAGTAGTTTAAGAATACCATCTTTTTAATTCTATGTTTTTATGAAACTTAGTAAAATTAATAATTTCATTTATATACTACAACAATAGGAGTATAAAAAGAAATTTAGTAAAAGAAAACAGTTAAATGATATGCATTTTTTGTACCGCAGGAAATACATTACTTTCTCATTTTGTTAATAAATATTTGATTTTTTTTTCTTTTCTTTTTTTAAATAAGATGACCAAGAGATTATGTAAAACATATGGTGCTCAGTATTTTTTTTTTATATAAACAATATGGTCCTGGAGAATTTGTATGTTTGTGTATTATGACATTACTGTTTCCTTACATCAAGGTTGACTATGATAGGCAAGCGATAATTTTTATTCTTATTTTTGCTAAACTTTCTTGTTTACTCAGAAAAAATTGCATCTTTTAATTGAATGAATGTAAAATACTATCCAGGTATTTGTGACATAACACATTCACTCATACATCTAGCAATTGTTTTGCAAATTAAGCTTCCTATCTGTAAACTTTTGCTAGCATGCATGACTAAAGATCCTTTTTTTTTTATGACTATAAGGAGGACATTTAGAGGATGCGATGGATAAATTGTCGCCTAAATTATGCAAAAATGAAAATAACACTGACATCTCATTTTAACCAATATATTTACCAAAATTACACAAAAATATCTTTAAATTCTGCTCATAATAAACAAGTGGGTTGCAGTCTAGGGAGTTAGGTGGCCAGATGTAAGGGGGTGATCTGGTTGTAGAAATTGTCTGACAGTAATGACT